ATACTTATTGAAGGTCACTTTTTTGTCATTTAACACTGGTTAGCAAAAAAACCTCTGTCCTGGGAAGAACCAGCAAGAAACCCAGCGGAACTATTTTTTTTTTTCAATAACAGCTTACAATCACGTACGTTACAATTAACAACACAAAACACATTAGAAATAGCTTAATAGCGATCAACCCCTGGCAAGAGCCAGAGGTTATTATCATCCATAAATTCCTTAATATTATAATAACCCTTTTATATAAACTTAGTTTAATAAAATTTTTGAACTTTGTGCTTGTCAAATTTTGTATATTTTCTGGGATTTTGTTGCAAAAGCGTATACTTCGCCCCAAGAATGAATTACTGACTCGGTGGAGTCGAGTAACTGGTACTACTAGCTTGTGCCAGTTCCTAGTATTTACAGAAAGTATTCACAAGCACAAAATGAACAAAATAAATCGCGCAAACTGCATAACGGGTCCAAAATGAATATCCAACTTTAAATAAAACTAGTTTTTACGGGTTTTATTAGTACGTAAATCAACTTATTTTATATTCCCCACGATTCCGTATATAAAATTCGTAAATACTAGTCTTATTGAAATGTGTAGTGTTCGCGTTAACATAAGAAATCATTATCCGAACTTTAAGTTCCAAAGCTTTAAGAATTCTTATTCCTTTAGCGACATCTTATCAGTTTCATTCATATTGTTGATCTTTAAATTTTCAATTAGATTAAATAAGTCTATCTAGCATCGTTATATCCTATTTCCGCTAGCTAGAGCGTCGGGACATTACTAAACCCGTAAGTGCACCGTAAACTGAAAGTTTGCGAACTTCTGTCTTACTTATATTATACCTCAATCGGTTGTCTGTAGATGAACCATTGTTGTGGAGTTTGTGTTGTCGAATTATTATTGTCTTAGTATAAGAGGTCTTTAGTTTATTTTAGTTTTACTTACACTAAGTTAAAGATTCATGTATTAACTAACACATGTAATTCACGATGGTTGGAATGTTTTTTTTTTAATTTAACCTCGCGTAGAGTTCACGTAAAATATTTTAATACATTACAAGTAAAAAATCTGCGTTGTTTTGATTTACACAAATTAATTATTTTAAAAACAAAGAACCTTCTAAAATTACCATAACTGCCCAGATAATTACTATTAGACAATGCCAACTAAATACACTGTAAAGTAAAAGTAAAGTTACAGCCTATATACGTCCCACTGCTGGGCACAGGCCTCCCCTCATTTCTGAGAGGGTTTTAGGGCAAGGAAGTCTCCGCTACGCAGCCCTAATGCGTGTTGGCGAACTTCACATGTCTTCGAAATAATTTTTTTTCTTATTCCTCAGACATGCAGGTTTCCTCACGATGTTTTCCTTCACCGCCGAGCGTGTGGTAAATCAGCACTTAAAATTGCAATTAACAATTTCATTGGTGTCGGCGGAGATCGAACCCGGGTTATTCGCGTTCTGTTATATTTACAGCGAGCGTCTACCATCTGAGCTACCACGGCTCAAATACACTGTATATCTATGAAAAAAAAAAAAAGGTAGTTCTCATAGTTGTATGGTTGTATGGTTCGTGTGCTGTCAAATCGTTCCTGTTTTAGGTTAAGTCTGGGTTTAGGTTTTCGTTTACTTTAGTTCTACTCACGAATAGTTAAAATACTTGTATTACATTTATGAAGGGTATGATCGCTTATATGCCATTGCATAGACGCTTGTTTACTCTCGAGGTCATAGTGGTGAACCCAGGCTTCGTCTTCTTTAACTATCCTATCAAAACACTTGAAGCTCAGTGAGCTTTCGCGGCACTCATCTTGCACTGACTTTAGTGACGTTGAGATAGTCATGCAATATGGTGTATATGATACCAACGGATGGGTTAGTCATTTCTGCTAACATCTTAATTCTTACTCGTGCATCTCCTTATACAAGTTTTTTAATAATTTTCATATATTCATCTGTAGCCGCTGTGATTTGCCCACCCGGGCGGGGGTCACGTTCGATGCTCTTTCTGCCTCTTTTGAATTCACTTGACCACTTTTGTACGGTTGACATTAAAGGAGTCTTCGTAAACGGCCACACATCCTTAGCAAATCCCCCTAACACCGAGAATACATTGAACACCCCTCGTATACCCAGTCCGATAATGCAGTTCTCTCTTTGTCTCGGTTGCTTAGCCCAGTCGTTTGGGCACAGAGTGACAGCAATAAATAGTAAAGTATAGCAGAAGACATAGATTTATTTTGTTGTACTCTGGGTGGGTTCATAGTAAGAGCTCTATTTGAAATTAGTTATGGTCCTACTGTGATATAGATACGGTGTTTGAAATAGCAATAAGTACATAATATTTATTATGTTGGTAAAAATAGTTGTCTACATTATCGCATTAGGTGATAAACCTGTAAAGATAATTGTATAGTGCGAAATAAATAAATAAATAAATCTGTTAAATCTATTCCTCATTTTTATACAATATATGTGTCAAACTAGCACACAGTCCACATGACGGTAAGTGAATGCTGTGGCCCATAGACATCCATCTCCGATCAAGGGTCAAAATGCAGATGCGTTGTTACCCTTGAGGACTAAGATGGAATGTTTCATTTCCAATAATAATGGTCTCCGGTACTCTACAAGCACTAAACAAAACACATAGCAGCATTAAGCTACTATGGTATACTATGGTAAGCTGGATGGTAAGTGGATGCTGTGGCCCATAGACAGCTACATTTATCCTCGATTAAGAATTGAAATGTAAACGCGTTGCCACTCCTGAGAACTAAGAATGCCTCGTTGTCAGTAAAGTGAACCTCATGTTCTCTACACTCACCATACGAAACACAGCAGCATTAAGCTTCTATTTTACGCTGGTATTCTGTGAAAGCGTGGTGCTTCTTCGGTCGAGCCAACCCATTGTGCCACAACCACAATATATCTTGCAGCGTGGCTCTACGACGTATAAAATATTTCCGGATATCCTATTAAAATTGTCTCGTACCAATATGCATAATTCAATTAAAATATAATTTCTCTCCATTTGACTATGTGTACCGGCACCTTGAACTTTGCCTTATATAAAAGATAAATTGATATTTTTATTACATAACTTCATTTAAAATGATAACTGTCGCCTGACTTTCCGCTATCGGGGTTACAATATGTACAATAAATTAACAATAAGGTAAGGTTATTGTGTGGGGGCAACAATGTATTTGTTGCAACCACACAGGATATTATAATATGGCCTACAAGTAATCGTTCCGGGGCTCGATGTTTGTCCTTGTGAAATTCATGTCTGTAAACACATATACAGGTCCCCCATGATACAAGAGAAAATGGAGGTAATGTATTAACAAAAATCTTTTAAATACAAAATTTAACCATATAGTACGAGCCGATCCTAGAAGAGCCGTTTTTAATGGTTAACAGCATAATAAAGCAGATCGATGCATAAGAGCAGGAGTTTGTTAGGAATGTAGGACACATCAGAACTTCGCGGGATTATCAACAACTCTGGCCTTTGAGGTTGTTAAAAACAGTTTCTAATGATTGTGCAAGACGACGTGCGAACTAAATAGCTTGGCGCGGGAGGATTAGTTAGCGACAGGGACTATTAAATTAATTGACGTTGGGTCACTGCCCTGATCCGGAACGGTTGGCCGTCTGACTCACTCGTTATGTTTGAGCGTTCCATTAATCTATCAACATCTCACATATAACGTTATGTAAGATGCGTTGCCGTCACTGATGACTAAGATGGAATGCCTAACAGCCTGTAAGTGTACTGCCTCTCTTTAACCCTCCGACAGGGACACAGCAGTTCAAGCGCTGCATTTGGCAGCAGAAACAGCTAAGAGGATGGGACCCACGCAGACGGACTCCGAGGGAGAGAAGGAGTCCAACCATATTGTATTACAATCAAGTCTAGTGTGTATTACACGACGACCCACAATAAGTTATCTGTTGAACCGCGCGTGTAAAAACGACTTTAGACCGAACTTCGGTAATCGCACTATGTGGCTTTTTCCGGGATGTGCGGGACAAGGAAGGAGTGAGGGTATGTAGCACTCTAATGTAGTTTCCTTTAATAGTATAAGGGTGACAAACGAGCACACAATCCATCTAATGGTAAGTGGATGCTGTGGCCCATAGACATATACATTTATCCTCGACTAAGAATCAAAACGCAAATGCGTTGTCACCCCTGAGGACTAAGGTGAAATGCCTCGTTTCCAGTAAAAAGTCTCCGTATATCTACACCATACGAATCACAGGTATTCTGTGAGAGAGTGGTCCTTCCCCGGTAGAGCCGACCCATTCGTGCTACAACTATAATATAGATGCAGCGTGGCTCTACCACGTTTAAAAAGTTTGCAATAGAGTGGTACATACTCGCAGTAAAACAAGTAACCGACACAACGAATTATTAAGTTGAAGTAGTAACGGGTAGTTCATATAGCTCAAAAAACCGACAACCGATGAGGAAAAATTTCTCGAGTGGTAGGCTCATACCGGTAGACGAAGTGTAGGGAGCATCTCACTACATGGAATGACGGCCTAATAAGACATGCAGGAAGTCGAGGGATGTAAGCGGCTCATGACTACTTTGTGGCATTCCTTGGGGGAGGCTCGTGTTCAGCAGTGGACTTGTGAAAGGCTGTAATTATGACGATGATGATACGTAATGCTATTGCCACTGAGATAATCACTTGCTTATTATTAAAATATAGCTATATATTTAGCTATAGCCCAGCTATACTAAGAGATAAAAAATATTATTCATCAGTATGTAATTTGTATCTAAATGTAATTTCAAAAAAAAAACGAGCAAAGCTCGGTCATCCGGTTACTACACTATACAGCAAGGAAAAATATTTCAAAAACCATAATTCCGAACTCCTTCTACTTTATTCTCGTGTTATTCAAACTTACTCGGTACCGTACCCATAGCCGTAAACAATCAACTATAAACTGTAACATTAAAAAAAAAAACAGACAAACCTGCTTAAGTTTAGGTGATGCCCTATACGCTGCTTCTAGTTTGGGGTTGTTCGGTGCCTTCCTAGGTCTTGTGTCCTTAATACCTAGGCGCTTGCCGAAGGGCGCGTATACTAGCCTGTAACAATACAAAAATCACGAAATTAACTTAAATTTACTTTCTAAATTTACCGTGAGAAAAATTCACGTCAAGAGATAAAATATATCTAAATAACTTCAGGCATAACATGTGAAATCGGTTTACGTGCATCGAAACTAGTTGCGAATTGTCTCTACTTTAAGTACCATGTTAAAAATAATTTCTGTTGGAGTAATTACATTTTTATTTTCATAAAACTGAACTGATTAAAAACGAAAGTACAGTCCACATGATGGTAAGTATCTGCAGTCCATAGACACCTGCAGCCAACTACTATCAAAGAAAGTTACAGATGCTTTGTCAAACCAAAGGACTAGGATGAAATGCCTCACAGCCTGTAAGTATTCAGTATAATGTTACAGTTAAGATGTTAAGAACATTTTAAGTTTCAACTTAAAACTATATTTTTTTATAATGATGAATACACTATATAATATAGCAACCGTAGGTTTTCTAGGTAGACATTTAAAATTTATCACTTAGGTATTCGTTTAGTGTGTAGTAGTGTTTACAAATAAAAAATTCCTTTAGTTTATTTATAAAATTAGTGTTTTTTTCTATTTTTTTTATTGAGTTTGGGAGTTTGTTAAAAATTTTGATAGACATGACGAAGGGACCTGATGAATGTAGTTTAAGGCGAGATATGGGTATACTCAGTTTTTCGTTATGGCGTAATTGGTATCTGGTATTACTTTCTCCTCGTTTGATATAAAATTCTGGGTATTTTTAATGAATTTGCAGATTTCCAAGATATATAATATGCACGGTAAGGTGAGTATTTTATGTTTGATAAAGTATGATTTGTAGCTATCAGTATTTTGTATGTTAAATATTATTCGTATACTGTCTTGTTATACACTTCAGACTGTAACACAGCAGTGCAGGCACTGTCATACTGTCACCCACGCAGACGAACCCATAGGCAGGAAAGGAATACTAGGTACCACTTATATTAATTTGAAAGTGTCAAGTCAAGGTGAAGTGCGTGTGTGTGTGCCTGAGTATTCTGATTTATAGTCAACCAAATCTAAGAAATACATTTTGACAGCTGTCAGACTTATTGCACCAAGCATGCCAACCAAAAAATGGGAACGTACAATATTCGAGTCTTAAAAAAATCGATATCGATTATTTAGAGTTGGCAATCATTTACAGTTTGGTTCGATTAATACCAAAATAAATTAAAAACACAAGATTTATCAGTTTCTTCATATTTGTTGTTAACTGCTTATTTCTAGAGGCACATTTATAAAAATTTAAGATTGAATCTGGATTAAAAATAAATTTATTCAATCACTTTCAGTACAACCAGTTGAGCGGTCGTTGTTTAGATAATTATTATTTGATTTTCAATAATGCAGTCAAAATTAATGTCTCTTTCAAAGTCATCTATAATCAATTTTTTTGTTTTTTATACCACTTTTGTTTGTGATATGGGTACGTGCTTCAACGAATATAGAAGAAATAGTCCAAAAAGTTAAAGCCTAGTAACAAAATAAGAAGACAAACACAAAATCACAAAATTACGCAAAGTAAGCTCCCGAAATGGCGGGAGATTGAAACTACGTAGTGGTTTTTTCAGCGCGGCCTTGTATGAGTTTTTTTGCTTACACAAATTTACGTTGACAAAGAAAAAAATTGTTTTATTCATAATTCATGTAATTTAAGGAATTTTAAAAATAAAAATTTAATTAAACAATTATACATTTAAAAAACTATGATTCGATTATTTGAACATTTTTACCGATTATTTGAATATTTTTGCCGATTATTCGCATAACAATGAATTTTAATCATCTAAACAGTACGGTAAGGTACATAGCGATATATCATTGAAACGACGTCAAGTAAAAAGAGTTGATACTGGATATTTTTTAATATCTTGCTTTGTTTGAAAGATTCGAATTTAAATTAGTTATAAAACCATACACGATGTAATGAAATATGGATTTCTTCATAATTCTTTCATTCAAAATTCTTCAACTTCATAATTCTTCGGATTTACGTAAAAGGTTATTTTAAATCGTGTGAGTACGCTTGTTCTTAGATTTGGTTGACTATAGTAAGTAGCACACACAACACATTATAATAATCATTAGTTTAATTACAATCATTGGTTTAGTTTCTCATATTTCTTTTAGAAAGGCTTGCTTTAAAATATTTAGAATATTTACAAATGTTGCAAGGCGACTTCACTAAACTACTTAGGTTTAACAGCTTAACAATAAGGTTTTCTTATATTTTTTCGCTATTACGCTTTGACCTTTGAAAGAGAGTCATGGACAACTCTTTTGACTGAGTATAGTTATACGTCTATGCTTTGCTTAATGTCTAATCCGCAGCTATAATCAAGTTTTTTTGACATTGAGATTAACCATTTAATGTTTCATCACGACATAACGGTACGATGAAGGAAAACATCGTGAGGAAACCGGCACGTCTGAAATAAAGAAAAAAACTATTTCGAAGACATGTGAAGTTCGCCAACATGCATTGGGGCAGCACGGCAGACATTTCCTTGCCCTAAAAACTCTCTCAGAAATAAGGGGAGGAGGCCTGTGCCCAGAAATGGGACGTATATAGGCTGTAACTTTAACACGACATAGCTCCAGGTGGGATTGTAAACAAACATTGTTTTTTTTATAGAATAAGGGTGACCAACGAGCACACAGTCCACCTGATGGTAAGTGGATGATGTGACATGCATCATCTATACATCCACATCTATCATCGACTAAGAATCAAAATGCAGAGGCGTTGTCATCCCTGAGGACTAAGATGGATTGCCTCGTTTCCAGTGAAAAGGATTCTCTACACTCACTATACAAAACACAGTATTAAGCTGCTATTTCACTAGTTTTATGAGAGCGCGTTCCTTCTTCGGTCGAGCCACGCTGAAGCTATATTATAGTTGTACATTCGTACTACAACTATAATATCACTTCAGCGTTGCTCTAGCACGTATAAAAGTATATGGTAGAGCTACTTACATATGCTGGCTTATAATATAAGTTAAAGGTTCTACAATGTGGTTATGTAAGGTAGGAAATGATTAGAAAACGTAAGGTTATCGATTGCCAACATTGATAGTGTGGCTAGAACTTAGTTCTTGCATTGTAGCATGGTGAAGATGACATATAGACAGGTCACTAGAACGTAACTTGCGTGCGTTTGCAAGATACGACAAAATTTTTAACTATTAGAAAATTAATTTATTATATACTTAATTTGTTTTCAATCATTTTCTCTATGCTTTTATGAATATTAGATTGACATTTACTTCGAAAAATCTCACCTAATGTAGTTCATTTTTTACTAATAAAATTATAAGAGTTTATTTCACTTGCGTACCTAGTTAGTTACGCACGTATGCTTACTAGCGGTAATTTTTTTATTAGTAGAGATGTGCCTCACAATCGGACGTACAAAACTGTCAAGCGAATACAATCGCAAAAAAATAAGCAGGATAATTCTATTGTACCTAGTACGTGTGGTGCAATATAGTCATATTTAGTATAGCTTACAATGAATGTATTATGTTATATGGATGCCCCCTTACAACTTCGCGAACTACGCGCTAATCGCAGTTTCACACGATATTGCAACATTGTTTCAACGAGGCAATTTTACTGACTTGATGGAAAATGCAACCGCTGTGAATTTAAGCTGAACGCACATTTGTCCGTACCGTACGCGTTTTATTTATTTTATTTTTAATACCCGACGTTTCGGGTGCTTTCCAGCACCCATGGTCACGGGGGACTGAGGTGACTGACGTCACGATGTCAAAGTTAACACGGAGTACCTTCAGCTTTTTTAATTATTGTCTTTGGTCCCATCTACGCAGAATGAACTAACTGTGTTTTAAAGTCTTGCAGTGGTATGATTGGGTTTAGTTTTAATTTTATTAATTATAGGGTCCCAAGCAGGTGGTAGCACCCAGCCTCCTTCTCTATTGAAATTAGGATGTTTTTTTTTAATTTCAATAGCCTCACGTATCATGGTCCCTGGTAGGAATCGATGTTCTTTCGCGAGGATTTGTGGTCTATCAAATCTGATGTAATGGTTGGGGCCATCTAGGATATGATCGCAAACCGGGAAGTCTGCAGTTTGCGATCATATCCTTAATTAACAATTTTTATTGTATTTAAATTAGTTTGTCGATAAGTATTCATATTAATAATCAATACATTTTTTAAAAATAATGTATAATTAATTACGTATTGAAAATTAAAAAATATAAAATGTTTTGTGTGATGGCTCGATGTTGCCTACAGAGTAAAGGCAAATGCTCCTGAAACGAAGTAAAATATATATTCCGAAACGAAAGTCGAAACCACCTAATCAGTAGAAAATCCACTAAATTGACAACATAAGAACGCGCCGCATTATATGACGTCATCAGCATGCGTGCTTCAATATTTGGATATCTACCAAATTTTATAAAATGCGGCGCGTACGGTGCTGACAAATGTGTGTTCAGCTTTAGAATGACACATCGGCATCAACCGTAAACAGAGAAACCTATAGACACTACTATCTTAAAAAAAGAGCATCTCTCTTAGCAAAGAGAAAAAGCCGTTTACAATGGTTTAAGTGAGAAAAAAGTGTTTTGTGAGCTTAAGATTCGTGAATATTGTTCAGTTCAGTTCTTAGAACAATTAAAATTTTTTTCTAAATATGTTTTAAAAGTCATAAAGATTATTGTATGACCTAAAACTACATTGTCGTCCTTTCTCACTCGAGGCCACGCTAATCATTAGTCTATACTCTATAGGTTTCTCTGTCTACGGCGTCAACCGACACAACACTTTACCGGAAAATCAACGATGCCATTCACTTCGTTTCTAACATCGAATAAGTGTACACATATGAAATTAGAATTAGTTATTTTAATTGTAATATGTAATATAATGATTTTTATTAAATTTCTAAAGTAAAGCCATTGTTAGATGCAAAAACAGCAATATAATTATATATTTTGAAAAAAAAAAAATACAATATTTTTTTGGTTACTCCACTTTTTGTTCATTTAAAAAAATTATAACCAACAAAATATAAATTAAATTTTTAGCGCGTATGTATATACCATATATAAGTAGATAAGTATGAATATAAGTACCTCGAAAAATAAAAATATAGGTATTATTTTTGATGTCGACTTTTGTAAAATCAGATGGGGAAAAATTTGTTGATAAACAATAGTATAATCGTATATATACTCGTAACCTTTTGAAAAATCGACATATTTTTTCCAACAGGGCTTTATTTATTCAACTGTTCTTATATATATTTAATACTATAAAAAATATTTTATGTGAGATACCTACCTATTGTCTCCAGCAGCGATGTGCTTATAACGGTCGCGTAGTCCTATTTTCGGCGTTAAATAAAAATTATAAAGAATGGAGATAAAATTCCGGAAGTCAGGACTTTTTATTGGATATTTCCTCCTCTTTGAGGATCTTTTTTCAAAAGTTCTTAAATATTAATAGTTTATTTTCGGCGGTAAAAAAAACAATATAAATAATGGAGATATAATTCCGTGAGTCGGGACTTTTTTATTGGAAATTGCCTCCTCTCTTTAAAAATCTTTTTTCAAAAGTTCTTATATATTAATAGTTATCTGATTTTGTTAATAACGATTGCAATTTTTTATGTACTAATAAATCCTCGAGAAATATTTTTCTACACGCCGTTCCGAATCTAATGAGCTATCGCACATAATTTTAGGAGCGGGAACAAGAATGTAACACGTTTTAGAACTTGTTGACTTTATTTAATTCATGCTGTTTCGTTTTTTCTCTCGCCGAGGGATGCCGCCCGCCCCGCTACGCTATGTATCGACGCGACGTCGTCAAATCGATCATTATTTATTATGTATTTAATTCTTTTAGCATAGTACCTAACTTACATTCTGCGGTTTAGATGGGTAGGTACATTTAGTAAAATGCAAGTCTTGTGGGTTAGTTATTCCACTAGCCAATTTCTTTAAGCGGTTGTAGGTACTGTTGTTTTCAATAAATAAAGTTACATTAAACGTGTGATGTAAGGATTTTTATCTAGGCGTTTGAGGTTATAATTTGATAACAAATGAATGAGTGATTTTTTTTTTGTATGACGCCGTTTTTGAGAGTTTTTGAAGTGGTAATATCTTCCGAAGCCACGTTGTGGCTTCATAAGATTTATTACTTTTTTCAGAATAACATTAAAATGGGTCATTCAGAAAACCCAGATTCTGCATTGTTACGAGGGTGGATTGAAAAGTACTCGGCCTAACACAGATCCATTCAATTCTAAAAATCAAATCTACCCACATTATTTAGTTCAGTTCAGACTAGTTCATTGTGTGAAGTTCGAAACGTGTGCGATAATTCGTTGTGATTTTATAAATTTATTAACAAAGTAATCGGACATAATTTCCGCGAATGGAGCAAATCGAGCAGCGTGCCGTCATTAAGTACCTCCATAAGAAGGGGCTATCATCAAAAGCCATCCATGATGACATGGTCAGTACATTAGGCGATTGTGCTCTGTCATATTCATCCGTCAAAAAATGGATAGCAGAATTTAAGCGTGGTAGAGAGAGTGTGAAAGATGAACCCCGCTCTGGAAGGCCTTCGACGTCAACTACTGACGAAAATATTAAAAAAAGTACTTGATTTAATAATGGGAGACCGCAGATTAAAAATTAGAGAGATAGCCGAGATTATAGGCATCTCTTATGAACGAACTCAAAACATCATTGTCAACGAGTTGGGTTTCCACAAGGTGTCTGCGAGGTGGGTTCCGCGACTGCTTTCAGTTGAACAAAAAAAGACGCGATTGACTATTTCACGCGACTGTTTGGAGTTATTTGAAGCCGATGCAGATGATTTTTTGAATAGTTTTGTTACTATGGACGAAACATGGGTTCATTACTGTACACCGGAAACAAAACAACAATCAAAACAGTGGAGAAGATCTGGTTCACCACCCCCTAAAAAGGCTAAGTCGATTTTGTCGGCAAATAAGGTGATGGCTTCAGTATTCTGGGACTCGAAAGGTGTGATTATGATTAATTATCTTGAAAGGGGTCAGACTATAAACTCTGATTACTACTGTACCTTACTACGTCGTTTACGAGAGGAAATAAAAGAAAAACGTCGAGGAATGCTCAGAAGAAAAGTCCTGTTTCATCAAGATAACGCCCGTGTTCACACGTCAGTACAGTCAATGGCTGAAATTCACAACTGTGGCTTTGAACTGTTACCGCATCCGCCGTATTCACCTGATCTGGCACCATCAGACTTCTTTCTGTTCCCTAACCTAAAAAAGCACTTGGGAGGTCAAAGATTTTCGACAAACGACGAGGTCAAAGCAGCTGTAGACGCATATTTTGACTCTAAGGAAGAATCATTTTTTTTCAACGGTCTAAATGCTTGGAAGGGGAGGTGGCAAAAGTGTATTGAACTTGATGGTGATTATGTAGAAAAATAAAAATATAACTGATTTAGTATGTGTTTATTTTCTTGGTTAGGCCGAGTACTTTTCAATCCACCCTCGTAACTGTTCGTTCAACAAGTTTTGTTTTGTCAAAAAAGAAAAACGCACATAGAAGAATATGCAGTTTTTCGATGTTTGGACGACATATATATACATTACTCGTCCAATAGCTCATTTTTTTCTTTCTTTCATTCATTAGCAAAATCACAAATAACCAAACCTGAATATGTTCATCTGTGAGACTAATGTTTATTCATAGTGTTACTCCTACATAATATGTTTATTAATCTTTGGTACTATAATTATTGTTCTAAATGTACAAACACTGACGAAGCCATGTAAGTTAAAAGACCTTTCAACCGACTAGTAGTGTGTCTTGTACATGTTTAAATATATTTAGTACTATTTATTATTATTATTATTATTATACTGTGTAATAGCGTCGTAAAAAAATTATCCATTTTTTTATAGAATAAGCGTGACGGACGAGCACACAATTTCCTTGGTGGCAAATAGATGATGTGGCCCATAGACATCTACATCAATCCTCAAAAAAAGAATCAAAATGCAGAGTGGTCCTTCTCAGTCAGCATGTAAAATATATTTGTTTTTTTTTCTTCTTTTTATTTGGATTACAAACACAGAGATAAAAATAAGCATTTTATTGCAAGGATTACATGCTAGGTACCTCTTCACCTACTTACAGGTAACAACAACGGGCGCTTGTTCGCTTGCTACTACGGTATTAATCATAAATGTTCATATAAGGGGGCGTCCATAAATTACGTGAGGTGTTTTTTTAAATTTTCTGTAAAGTGAGATGTCGTGAGATTTTATTCAACCCCCTCCCCATCCCCCAATCTCACGTGAGATTTTTTTAAAATGTTGGTTTCTTGCGTAAACGCGTTGGATTGTTATTGTAAAAAGAAAAAAAAAACATTAAACGTCCTATAACTCAAAAAGTATGGACATTAGAAAAAAGTTTCAAACAAAAGTTTTAGAAAATAAACTGATCTTTAAAAATAGATTTATGCATTTTATTGATTAATCTAATATTTCAAGAGTTATTGGCCGCGATAGAAAAACCGGTTCATTAAATGGGCCATAAATCGTAAACGGTAAGTTTTACAAAAAAGTTTACTGGAAACAAAAGATGCGAAATTTTATTTTCTACAACAATGATTTATATAAAACTTGCCTTAAAGTGCATATTTCCGAGATCTGAAAACGTTTTGTCGACATCAACGGATCTGTCAGCATTTTGTGATTTTATCCTGAGTAAGTGATCCTAAACCTTATAAAAAAAAATAAAATTGGATCGGAAATTTAGTGGAAAGTTAAATTCTATTTTTACTGTACTATTTCATTAAACATTTTATTTATCGACAACGTTATACAATCGTCGTTTCTCTAGCGCTCACGTGACCGTGACGAATAATTCGATATTTTAATTGTTGATAATTTTTATTTTTGAATAAGAATATAGTAATAACTCTAAGTTATATTTTCCTTCATTAAAAAAAAATTGTCTTTGGACAAACTTACTATAGTCTTTGGCTTGACCATAGGCTTGACTAATTGGTTTAATAATCTGACATTTCAGTAGTGGTTAATCGTATTACGATATACACTTAAGATTAAACCTTAAGCATGTACAATCTGGATTAAATGGACCAAAATAGTATTACATTTTTTTGTTTCAATCAGAAAAAAAATTGCGTGATATTTGCCGTGACCCCCCCCCCCCTCTCCAACTTAAGATTAGATGAGATTTGACTTGACTTAAACATCTTACGTAATTTATGGACGCCCCCTAACAGTTTGAAGTGAATTCTATTATATTATAATATTCTATAACGTATATATTCTTTCTGTTATGTATATACATATATGCGGTTTTGCTTTAAGCAGACTCGGTACCTTGAGGATCACCAGCTGATTAGAGATCGCCGGTATAGTTTCTGTTGAGGTCGCTTAGCTGGTGATTCTCTGTGTTACCTAGCTCATAGATGGGCGGAAGCAATAGAGTCGAGGGCCGAGTCGTTGGCCGTTAGTTTGGAAAAAAAAGCGAAGGCCTTCGATCGGGTTTGGAACAAAGCGTTTTTTACGAAGCTTCCTTCCTATGGGCTTCCCGACATATTGTGCAATTGAATCACCAGATCTTTCTTGCAGATCGGAGCGTCAAGGTTGTAGGACGGTGCATGCTTCGATTACAAGCGCATTGACGCTAGTGTTCCACAAGGCTACGTGCTATCATTAACGCTGTTTCTTCTGCATATCAATGATATGTTGCAAGCCGGTAACATTCATTACTATGCGGACGACAGCACTAGTGATGCTTTATACAACGGCCGTGCCAATATTTCTCGGGGAAATCTATTTTAGTTCAACCCCCAAATGACACAAGGGTTTACGCTAAAAAAAAACAAAAAAAAAAAAAAAAAAACAACCTTCCCCCCTCTTCCGAGCTCCTTCTTCGGCTTGACTTACTGGCACTGGGAAGAGATGTTGCATCCCTTTGCGTTTTTTATCGCATTTACCACGGTGAAAGGCACGAAGTGCTCTGGGGAATTGTTCGGACTATTTCTAGGTGCAAAATTTTGCATCCCTTTGCGTACTTTATCGCATTTACCACGGTAAAAGGCACGAAGTACTCTGAGGAATTTTTCGGACTAATTCCAGGTGCAAAATTTCACCATCGCGACACAAAAGTCGCAATACCATCCCATACGACCTGGATGACTAGCAGTCAACCACTGTGCGATTTAGTTTTCTTCCTAGCACTTCCTCCTGGAATCCACAATCACCAGAGATTTTTCCGGACTGATACGACTTAGAAACCTTCAAGAAAAGAGCTTACTCCTTTCTAAGCCGCCGGCAACGCATCTGTAATTCCCCTGATGTTGCAGTTGTTCATGGGCAGCGGTACTTCCCATCAGGTAGGCCGCATGCTCATTTGCCCCCTCCTATAAAAAAAAGAGTTAAAAAAAATTAGGAAGTCAACAAATTGACCGTATGTTGTTTTTTTTCGTGTATGCGTTATGTAGTATGTTACGCATTATCCTCGTCAATGGTGAATCGATTCTAATGTTACTTTTTTATTAAATACGATAGGTTATAACTTTAGGGATGGTCCCATAAAAATTTATAGAGTAAAATTCCACTGATAAGGCTAAAAAAATAGGGGGTGAAATTTTTTATGATATTATATAGACAACATTGATATTGTGATATTCCTTAGTTCTATCAAAAGTGTAATTTTTTTTATAAAAATTTAAAGTCGCCTTCAAACAGATAAAAAGAATGAAATATCTGCACATTCAGAAGTGAGAGCTCTAATTCTTCTATGCAATATATGCCTTATCTATGGTTTAAAGGAACGTATTTCATTATTATTGTATAAATATAAGGTGAAACTAACACCTTTATATTTCTATCGTAGCTTTTCGTTGGATATTTTTTATCTAACTACGCGTCCAACTAATGTAAAATCGGAAATCAATATTTGTAGTATCAATAGTTGCAGGTAATCGATAAAGAAAAGTTAAGAACTAAAATTGTTCAAAAATGAACTATTTAAAATACTAAGCGAAGCGCTTGGGATTATTTTGGGAAAATTCAGTGTTGAGGCATACAATTTTTTACAAAAAGATTTAACAAATAGAGGCTTTTACGCGTTTCCACCATACTCAAAAGTAGCTAAAGTAAAAGATGAATGTTATCCTGAAGACGGAGTACAATCAAGTGAAGTTGAAGCATCTGTTTCTTTGCAGAGACCACTCGCACACACCTTCAAAATAATTGTTCTTCTCTGTGATGATGTTTCTAACGCTTACTGCGAACGAGAGAATTTGAACGAACTTGAACATTTGAGGGGTCTTGGGGATTTGACGGCAGCACAGGCCAATCCCATACAAACAAAAGAATCCCCGAGATCCTTCATATGACCAAAGTACAATATTTGCTACGACATTTGTATCCTTGCGAAACTTGTAACAAACAAATTCTTTGGGTAAACCAAACGCCTCAATCTTACCCGTATAGGCTTCTTCGTATTCAATATCGAAAAGAATTAAATGACCTCATTCTCTCAGAAAAAGAGTATGTCGAGGAATAATTGCGACATCTAACACCAATCGCTGCATCCACATTAAGGGTTTTATCATAAAAACTATGTGCAACCTCACCTTAAGCATCATTGATGTTAAGGTGTACAATATTATACACGGTTTGACTGCCTCGTGTCTAGTGCCGTGGTCTAGTGGTTGTAGTAGTGCGACTGCTGATCATGAGGTCCTAAGTTTGAATCCCGGGTCGGGCCAAAAATTAATTATTGAGTTTTTTTGTCAAGAAGTTCTCAGTAGAAGCCCGGAGTCAGGAAGTTGGCGGTGTCTCACCCCCGTGCCTCGGAAAGCACGCCTGATCTCTCTCAGGTCGTATTGGTTTACCGTACCATCGGAGTATGAGAGTGAGGAAATAGAGAGTCCTGTGTTTGCGCATGCACTTGGACACCATAATTCTGTCCTGCGCCGATGGCTAGCCTCCGTTGAGGCAGAACACCGTGGCCGAAATTCGGTCTGGAGGACATTATTATTATATAGTTAATTTATTAGGTATATTTTCACTAATAAATTAACTTCCATCAACTTCCACAATCTAGATCTAACATTTTCTAATCCCATTGATGAAGACATAACCCCTTGTTGGCCGGCCGGCCATTTGCAAAATTTTAACGTTAAGTATGGTTCAAGTTCTTAATTTAGACAAAGTTTCATTTCTAAAAAGTATGTACTGTATTTTTAATCAACAATAGAGAGAAATGTAAGGAATTTTTAACAAAAAGGATATATATCCCTAAATTATGAATTAAATACTGTTGGTTATTAACCCTTCCATGTTAAAATAGCACCAAACTTCACTATTTGTTTGATTTACTAATAAAAAAAAGGACAAAAACTGGGACGGGCGAACACATAGTGACATTCACGCACGACTGCCACACCGGCTGTTTATTCGAAATTTCTAAACATTGTAGTACTTTAGTAGCTTTTTATCGCGTCCTTTTTCTTTGGTGTATAATTTTATATAAGTAAAAGCATGATAGCAATCATGAACGCCGGTTATTTTACCCGCCAAATACCCATGCGCGGATCGGCCAGAAACTGGTCGCTTGTCAGACGCGTGTATTAACCATCGGCCAGAATCTGGCCGGTCGCCACACAAGGGGTTAATAAAAAATTTCATGAGTCCACTTCATGACTATATACGGTTTTCAGAATTCCTGCTCTTATATAGCCAGAAAGTATGTATCCGCTTATAGTTGGTACCCAATGACTACGACTTTGCATAAAATTCCTGCTCTTATATAGCCAGAAAGTATGTATCCGCTTATAGTTGGTACCCAATGACTACGACTTTGCATAAAATTCCTGCTCTTATATAGCCAGAAAGTATGTATCCGCTTATAGTTGGTACCCAATGACTACGACTTTGCATAAAATTCCTGCTCTTATATAGCCAGAAAGTATGTATCCGCTTATAGTTGGTACCCAATGACTACGACTTTGCATAAAATTCCTGCTCTTATATAGCCAGAAAGTATGTATCCGCTTATAGTTGGTACCCAATGACTACGACTTTGCATAAAATTCCTGCTCTTATATAGCCAGAAAGTATGTATCCGCTTATAGTTGGTACCCAATGACTACGACTTTGCATAAAATTCCTGCTCTTATATAGCCAGAAAGTATGTATCCGCTTATAGTTGGTACCCAATGACTACGACTTTGCATAAAATTCCTGCTCTTATATAGCCAGAAAGTATGTATCCGCTTATAGTTGGTACCCAATGACTACGACTTTGCATAAAATTCCTGCTCTTATATAGCCAGAAAGTATGTATCCGCTTATAGTTGGTACCCAATGACTACGACTTTGCATAAAATTCCTGCTCTTATATAGCCAGAAAGTATGTATCCGCTTATAGTTGGTACCCAATGACTACGACTTTGCATAAAATTCCTGCTCTTATATAGCCAGAAAGTATGTATCCGCTTATAGTTGGTACCCAATGACTACGACTTTGCATAAAATTCCTGCTCTTATATAGCCAGAAAGTATGTATCCGCTTATAGTTGGTACCCAATGACTACGACTTTGCATAAAATTCCTACTCTTATATAGCCAGAAAGTATGTATCCGCTTATAGTTGGTACCCAATGACTACGACTTTGCATAAAATTCCTGCTCTTATATAGCCAGAAAGTATGTATCCGCTTATAGTTGGTACCCAATGACTACGACTTTGCATAAAATTCCTGCTCTTATATAGCCAGAAAGTATGTATCCGCTTATAGTTGGTACCCAATGACTACGACTTTGCATAAAATTCCTGCTCTTATATAGCCAGAAAGTATGTATCCGCTTATAGTTGGTACCCAATGACTACGACTTTGCATAAAATTCCTGCTCTTATATAGCAAAACGGCACAGAAAGTATGTATCCGCTTATAGTTGGTACCCAATGACTACGACTTTGCATAAAATTCCTGCTCTTATATAGCCAGAAAGTATGTATCCGCTTATAGTTGGTACCCAATGACTACGACTTTGCATAAAATTCCTGCTCTTATATAGCCAGAAAGTATGTATCCGCTTATAGTTGGTACCCAATGACTACGACTTTGCATAAAATTCCTGCTCTTATATAGCCAGAAAGTATGTATCCGCTTATAGTTGGTACCCAATGACTACGACTTTGCATAAAATTCCTGCTCTTATATAGCCAGAAAGTATGTATCCGCTTATAGTTGGTACCCAATGACTACGACTTTGCATAAAATTCCTGCTCTTATATAGCCAGAAAGTATGTATCCGCTTATAATTGGTACCCAATGACTACGACTTTGCATAAAATTCCTGCTCTTATATAGCCAGAAAGTATGTATCCGCTTATAGTTGGTACCCAATGACTACGACTTTGCATAAAATTCCTGCTCTTATATAGCCAGAAAGTATGTATCCGCTTATAGTTGGTACCCAATGACTACGACTTTGCATAAAATTCCTGCTCTTATATAGCCAGAAAGTATGTATCCGCTTATAGTTGGTACCCAATGACTACGACTTTGCATAAAATTCCTGCTCTTATATAGCCAGAAAGTATGTATCCGCTTATAGTTGGTACCCAATGACTACGACTTTGCATAAAATTCCTGCTCTTATATAGCCAGAAAGTATGTATCCGCTTATAGTTGGAACCCAATGACTACGACTTTGCATAAAATTCCTGCTCTTATATAGCCAGAAAGTATGTATCCGCTTATAGTTGGTACCCAATGACTACGACTTTGCATAAAATTCCTACTCTTATATAGCCAGAAAGTATGTATCCGCTTATAGTTGGTACCCAATGACTACGACTTTGCATAAAATTCCTGCTCTTATATAGCCAGAAAGTATGTATCCGCTTATAGTTGGTACCCAATGACTACGACTTTGCATAAAATTCCTGCTCTTATATAGCCAGAAAGTATGTATCCGCTTATAGTTGGTACCCAATGACTACGACTTTGCATAAAATTCCTGCTCTTATATAGCCAGAAAGTATGAATCCGCTTATAGTTGGTACCCAATGACTACGACTTTGCATAAAATTCCTGCTCTTATATAGCCAGAAAGTATGTATCCGCTTATAGTTGGTACCCAATGACTACGACTTTCCATAAAATTCCTGCTCTTATATAGCCAGAAAGTATGTATCCGCTTATAGTTGGTACGCAATGACTACGACTTTGCATAAAATTCCTACTCTTATATAGCCAGAAAGTATGTATCCGCTTATAGTTGGTACCCAATGACTACGACTTTGCATAAAATTCCTGCTCTTATATAGCCAGAAAGTATGTATCCGCTTATAGTTGGTACCCAATGACTACGACTTTGCATAAAATTCCTGCTCTTATATAGCCAGAAAGTATGTATCCGCTTATAGTTGGTACCCAATGACTACGACTTTGCATAAAATTCCTGCTCTTATATAGCCAGAAAGTATGTATCCGCTTATAGTTGGTACCCAATGACTACGACTTTGCATAAAATTCCTGCTCTTATATAGCCAGAAAGTATGTATCCGCTTATAGTTGGTACCCAATGACTACGACTTTGCATAAAATTCCTGCTCTTATATAGCCAGAAAGTATGTATCCGCTTATAGTTGGTACCCAATGACTACGACTTTGCATAAAATTCCTGCTCTTATATAGCCAGAAAGTATGTATCCGCTTATAGTTGGTACCCAATGACTACGACTTTGCATAAAATTCTCACACACGGACAAAATATCATAGAACATTTAACACTACCAGTGAGACTTCTCTCAGAACACGCTGCAGAGTCTAGAAATAAGTACGATCGCGAGCACCACAGCCGAAAAGACAGTAGAAGACACACAACAGAAGATTTATTTCATAGGGCTTTGGTATCATCCGATCCCGTCGTGTCAAATACACGGCTAAGTAGACGACATCGTAATATAAAACATATGTCTCTGCCGACTGCAGTTATTGAAATGTTGAAACCATTTAAATTTAACGACGACGAAAATCTTGTAAAAAATAACAGTGATAGCATGGAATGCAATGAAACTGATGAAAGTGAATTCACATCTATTCTTACAAACAAAAATGAAGTATTTTTAGCAAAAGACGAAAATTAAATGAAAATTACTATTATACTGTACTGTATTAAAGTAAAGTAAAGCCTATATACGTCCCACTGCTGGCACAGGCCTCCCTTTCTAAGAAGGTTTTAGGGCAAGGAAGTGTCCGCCGCGCTGCCCCAATGCGTGTTGGCGAACTTCACATGTCTTCGAAATATTTTTTCTCTCTTATTCTTCAGACATGCAGGTTTCCTCACGTTTTCCTTCACCGCTGAACACGTGGTAAATCAGCACTTAAATTGCAATTAACAATTTCATTGGTGCCAGCGGGGATCGAACCCGTGTTACTCGCGTTCTGTTATATTTACAGCGAGCGTTAACCATCTGAGCTACCACGGCTCCTGTACTGTATTAAAATTAGATTAAATATTGTAAATAGCAAATATTGTAAATATTATAATATTAAAAGAACACTAAATTAATACTTACTTCAGGACATTCCGGAATTTTCCGGAAATTTTAGTAAAATTCTATCTCCGAAAGTCTGCAAGATTTGCGATAGATTTTTTTTGTCTTAGTAGTCCATATATGTGGCTACGGTTTGAGACTAGAAAAAAAGCAAATACTGAAAACATAAGTCACAAAACAATAATTACCGCGAAATTGTGATGCCCTAGTCTGTTCACAATCGGTTCTTCCTTTAGTCTAAGATTAAAGCATTTAAATTGTAATACAACATCTAAAATAATAAACGTAGTTTAAGAAGTATATGTTTTTACTGTTGATTAAAATCCCGAAAAAACTAACTAATTTGCATGTTTGCAAAAACTGTAACAGCTAGCCTTTCAGGAGTTTTTGTCTTGCATTTGTAACATGCTTCTTCATATGATAAGCTAATAAAAATAAGTTGTCACAAAATGACGTCAAAAAATATACAGTGCCGCGGGATGATATGGGCTGTTTTGAACACACAGAAATTTTTTTATGGTTCCGCCAACAACAATGATATTTGAATGATACCACTATTTAGCAGGGTTGCAAATTATCAAGATAATAATGTTCATTGATAATCATCCGATAATTATTGTATTATTTCCCGGTTATTATCCAGCGATACAAAATAGTTTTTTAATATTTAAATAATTTTTTAAAAAACTGATACAATCAAAAATAACAAAATTTAAACAAATCAACATTGTCATAATATATGCCTCTTTATTTTTTACATTATTATTATTATTACATATTATTACTTATTCTTACATTTCTTGTATCGGGCCCATAAACCGCTATTTTTTTTTTGCAGTCAAACTTTAACCAAAGTGGATCCAAATTTCGTAGCATGTTTTATTTTACGAATATGACTGTATTATTCAGAAACCAACACAACAAAAACTAACAATACCAAACATTGAGGACAAGGGGAATTCCCACCCATTGACATTTCTTGTATTCAATATACATATACTGACAAAAAATTGGCGCATAATATTACCCGCGTTCGAATACACGCTATAGCGTGCGTCCACAGTGCGAGCCTAGGGCGGTTGCGAGGTTGCGACGACGGGCGCGAAGTATCAAATATATTGTTACGAGCTTAGTTCTTCAATTCGATACTAGATGGCGCTGTCGGTTGAAAGATTACTGATGTCATTTTCTGGAAAGCTCTCTCTTCGCTCTGTTACCCGACACTAGATGGCGCTATTGCCAGATGTCAACTTAGCCGCGCAACAATATCGATACGATGTTCAGGCGCTAAGACAACATCACCCGGAGGCATGTCCTGGATAATGTCAGCGGTAAGTACCTCGTTAATAGAAGTGGTCTGAGGAACCTTCTTTATTTCATGTTCAGGCGCTAAGACAACATAACCCGGAGGCATGTCCTGGATAACGTCAGTGGTAAGTACCTCGTTAATAGAAGTGGTCTGAGGAACCTTCTTTATTTCATGTTCAAGCGCTAAGACAACATCACCCGGAGGCATGTCCTGAACAACGTTAGCGGTAAGTACCTCGTTAATAGAAGTGGTCTGAGGAACCTTCTTTATTTCATGTTCAGGCGCTAAGACAACATCACCCGGAGGCATGTCCTGAACAACGTCAGCGGTAAGTACCTCGTTAATAGAAGTGGTCTGAGGAACCTTCTTTATTTCATGTTCAGGCGCTAAGACAACATCACCCGGAGGCATGTCCTGGATAACGTCAGTGGTAAGTACCTCGTTAATAGAAGTGGTCTGAGGAACCTTCTTTATTTCATGTTCAGGCGCAAAGACAACATCACCCGGAGGCATGTCCTGAACAACGTCAGCGGTAAGTACTTCGTTAATAGAAGTGGTCTGAGGAACCTTCTTTATTTCATGTTCAGGCGCTAAGACAACATCACAGGGAGGCATGTCCTGGATAACGTCAGCGGTAAGTATCTCGTTAATAAAAGTGGTCTGAGGAACCTTCTTTATTTCATGTTCAGGCGCTAAGACAACATCACCCGGAGGCATGTCCTGAACAACGTCAGCGGTAAGTACTTCGTTAATAGAAGTGGTCTGAGGAACCTTCTTTATTTCATGTTCAGGCGCTAAGACAACATCACCCGGAGGCATGTCCTGAATAACGTCACCGGTAAGTACCTCGTTAATAGAAGTGGTCTGAGGAACCTTCTTTATTTCATGTTCAGGCGCTAAGACGAATTACACGAATAATACACCAATTGAATAAATCTAATTATACGGATTTTATCGTGTTTAATTTAAACCTTAATCGGAAGAAGAATTGTATATTATTCCATTTTTACTGCATGTTAAATGAGTTCATAATTTTCATACACAATTTTTTATAGTTGTCAGTCGCCATTGTCGACACCGATAAAATTTTAATTAACAGAGTTACATGACGATTTATCACGTTTCAGAAAAGTTATCAGCTGTGCGAAAAGTAAAATGAAAAATATTAAAAAACAAATTAGAGGACACGAAAATGTAAGGCGTACAATACACTCTCATGCAGGCGTCAATTACTGCACATTACACGGTTGTTATATTGTGGTACAACCATGATTGTTATAATACTATATTTTTTATCCCGAATTCAACTGTCACGCTTTTTATATTAACTGTGATTATAATTCTGGAACAAGTACGTTTTACGGAAAGAAATAGAGCATGTATTAATCTAAGTACCTGGATGACAGAGCTTCGCTCGGTTTTTTTTTAAATTAAATTTAGATACAAATTACGTGCTGATGAAAATGAATAGTATTTTTTGATCTTATTGACATAATAGAAAAAAACTGAACTGGTTATTTGAATAAAAAATCATGAGTGCAATTAGTTTAATTAAAATTTTCGTATTTTTAAAAAATACTAAAAAAAAGGGCTCGAAATAATAGATTTTCTCACAAAAGAAAGGAACTTGAAAAAAAAAAGGAAAAAGTCGGACCGAAGACAGGACGCGCGCGAACCAAGGCATTAAGATTTCGCGACCGCTCGATATCCACTTGAGCTATTACGACCATTATCACAGTGTCAAAATTTACCTTCTTATATTGTAGTAGTTTTTCATTGCCTGGAAACACGGACAAAACAACATTTTCTAAAAATAAATCCTAGCTAGATCGATTTATTGCCCCCGAAACTCCCTGGACACTAAATTTTATGAAAATCGTTGGAGCCGTTTTCGAAATACCAATAAAAATATAAAAAAAAAAAAAAAATATATATATATATATATATATATATATAGTTTGTTCAGAATCGTTTACTGAATCGATTCCTATCATTTTTATATAGGTAATTTTTTATCCCAAAAATAATTAAAACTACGTAAATTACAGTCACACTAAATCTGTACAGTCAAAACAAACTGAAATGGACCGTAACTTAAGGCAATAAGACTTTTAAGAGTGCAGTTTTATTTGTATTATTACTAATTCTGACATTCAATAAAAATAAAGAAAAATGAACTTTATTTCAAGCACGTTAAAGTCTTTGCGTTCGTTGAGTTTGTACTGTGACCACAACATTCTCCCGGAATTAGTGTAACTAATTTGATAAATAATCAGTGCAAAAGAAATTCAGTGTATGTATTATGATTATAACATAATATACTAATTGGGGTGTCTGAGGGTGTGCGTTAATCATCATCATCATCATCATCTCACAGCCCTTCACAAGTCCACTGCTGAACATAGGCCTCAATGCGTGCGTTAATAACGTTACATATTATATATATATATATATAGATAGTATATATCTACATCTATATATATATCAATATCATCAGTATAATATAAATACAAGCATTAACTATTCCGCTCGTTTAAAGCGTTTTATAGGATTAAAAAGATACCTATACTTATAAGGTAATATAAATATCTAAAAATCTAATATAAATCATTGATTGCCAAAGCGGAAAGCAATAACAAATATATGTGGCTAAATACTCAAAGATTAAAAATAAATGTATAGGTGCTTCTTTTTCCTGAATTTCTCAAAAGTACTATATTTTTGCATTTTTTTGGGGAAAGACCAATATTAAAAAAAAAGGTGGCAACCCTATTCACAGCAACCATGGTCACGGGGGAACTGAGGTGTTTGACGTCCTAATGTCATAGTTAGTCCAGTTCATCATCATCATCATCATTACAGCCCTTCACAAGTCCACTGCTGAACATAGGCCTCCCCCAAGTAATGCCACAAAGCACGGTCCTGAGCCACCTGCATCCATCGACTTCCTGCATATCTTACCAGGTCATCACTCCATCTAGTGGGGGGTCGCCCTACACTACGCCTACCGATACGAGGCTGCCACTCGAGAACCTTGATTCTCCATCGGTTATCGGTTCTTCTAGCTATATGGCCGGCCCATCGCCACTTCAGCTTACTAATCCGTTGGGCCATGTCAGTTACTCTGGTGCTACTAAGGATGTCCACATTTCTAAGTTTATCACGCAGAGAAACCCTGAGCATAGCCATAGCTCACTGAGCGACCTCGAGCTTCCTCATACAGCCAGTAGTGAAGGACCATGTCTCAGATCCATAAATCATCAATGGCAACACGCACTGATAATACTTTCTTCCCCATCGGTTATCGGTTCTTCGAGCTATATGGCCGGCCCATTGCCACTTCAGCTTACTAATCCGTTGGGCTATGTCGGTCACTCTGGTTTTACTACGGATATCCTCATTTCTGAGTCTATCACGCAGAGAAACTCCGAGCATAGCCCTCTCCATAGCTCGCTGAGCGACCTTGAGCGTCCTCATACGGCCAGCAGTGAAGGACCACGTCTCAGATCCGTAAGTCATCACTGGCAACACGCACTGGTTGTACAATCTAGTTTTAAGAGATTGAGGTATACCTGACGAGAAGATACGTCGTAATTTCCCGAACGCTGCCCAGCCGAGTTGAATCCGTCGATTGACCTCTCGGTCGAAGTTGGACTTACCTAGTCGGACTATTTGTCCCAGGTAAACGTAATCGTCAACAACTTCGAGCGTAGTGCTCCCAACAACTACCGGCATAGGTGTGATGGACATGGACATTAAACATAATCTTTGTTTTGTCCATGTTCATCTTAAGACCTATCCGTTGGGAGACACTATTGAGGTCATTGAGCATAGTGCTTAAGTCCTCCAGCGATTCTGCCAAAGGACTATATCGTCGGCAAATCGAAGGTGAGTGATGTACTCGCCATTGATGTTAATACCGTATCTTTTCCAGTCCAGTAGCTCGAAAACGTCTTTCAATGCAGCGGTGAAGAGTTTCGGGGATATTGCGTCACCCTGTCTTACACCTCTCTGCATTTGGATAGGTTTCGAGCTCTGGTTCTGTACTCGGATAGCCATCGTAGCCCTACTGTACAAACACTTCAGCACTTCGATATACCGACAGTCAACTTGGCACCGCTGAAGGGACGGTAGCACCGCACAAATTTCGACGGAATCAAAGGCTTTCTCATAGTCCACATACGCCAGGCAAAGTGGCAGATTGTACTCTTCAGTCTTCTGTACAATCTGCCGCAGGGTATGTATGTGGTCTATGGTACTGAAGCCTTTTCGGAAACCGGCTTGTTCGGGAGGCTGGAAGTCGTCGAGTCTGCGTGCGAGACGATTCGTAATGACTCTCGAAAACAGCATGTAGACGCGGCTCAGAAGGGAAATCGGTCTGTAGTTCTTCAAGAGAGCGTTGTCGCCTTTCTTAAAGAACAAGACCACCGCACTTTTGCTACACGCCTCTGGAGTAGTGCCACCATGGAGGACGGAATTGAAGAGCTTCTGAAGGACTTCAAGTACCGGTGTTCCACCCGCTTTCAGAAGCTCCGCTATAATTCCATCCTCGCCTGGGGCCCTGCCGTTTTTAAGGTGCTGGAGAGCCATTCTAATCTCGCTTAGACTGACGTCCGGGATATCATCGGAATAGTGTCGTATAAGACTTTATTTTGGATCGTTACTCACACTTGCGTGTGACTCCAACGATGATGTGTACAGCTGCCCATATAACCTCTCAATCTCACTCAAAATCTCAGGTGTCCCGGAAACGATGCTGCCACACTCAGTCTTCAGCTTTGACAGTTGGCTCTTACTGGCAGACAGATCTCTGGCAAAGACTTTGGAGCCCTGGTTCCGCTCGATCGCTTCTTTAATACGAGCAGTATTAAAGTTGCGTAAGTCTCGCCGCATGCATTTGGAGATCTGTCTGTTCAGTTGCCTGTATGCTGTCAAATCTGTTGACGATTGCAGCCTCATCTCCCGTCTAACAGCCATGAGATTAAGAGTGTGATCGGAGAGTTTTTGTGTTCTTCTGCGGCGGGTCTTGCAGAACTTAGCTCCGACCGCATGGACAGTTTCCACGAGCTTGTCGTTCATATCGTCCACTGCATTGCAATCTTGTAGGCACTGAAAGCGGTTACGTAATTCGAGCTGAAAGTTTCCGGGATTCTGGATTAGAGCACGAGGGTGACGGAGCGTTGACTTCATTAGACGAGACCTCTCCAACTTAACGTTTAGGTTCAGTGTGCCTCTAACCATTCGGTGATCGCTGCCAGTTTTCACCCTTGCGATCACTGAGACATCACTGAACAGTTGGCGTCTGGTCGTCATAATGAAGTCAATCTCATTTTTTGTCGAACCGTCGGGGCTCGACCAGGTCCACTTCCTGTGGGGCCGCTTCTGGAAGAAAGAGTTCATCATAAAGAGTACCTCTTTCTCCATAAAGTCGGTCAGCTGCTGGCCTCTTCGGTTCCGTTGCCCTACTCCAATTTTCCCTAACTTCAGCTCACCGTTTTCTCTTGTGCCTAGTTTTGCGTTGAAGTCTCCCATCAACACCGTGTAGTGGGTTTCGGAGGAATGCATGGCTTTGGAAATATCCTCATACATTTCCTCTACCTCCTCATCGGGATGTGCCGAGGTTGGTGCGTAAACCTGTATGACCTTCAGCGAATACCGTTTGGTGATTCTGAGTATCAGGTACGCGACCCTCGTCGCCACACTCCCAATCTTTACAACGTTGTTGACGAGAGACTTGTGGACGATAAATCCGACACCTCCTTGGGACAGATGGTCGCCCTCCCGGTGTTAGAACAAGTTGCCGGATTCGAGAATCACCG